CTCCCTCCATCCATCCGTCCGTCTCCCCTCCACATCCTCCTTCCCTCCATCAGTGTCCCCCTGCCTCCCCTCTTCCTCCATCAGTGTCCCCCTGCCTCCTCCCCTCCTTCATCAATCTCCCCCATGCCCTGTCCCCCCCCCCTCTATCTACTGGTCTCCTGCTGCCCTGTCTCCCCCCCTCTCTATCAGTCTCTACCTTGCCCTGTCTCTCTAACTCCTATCTATTGGTCTGTCCTCTGCCCTGTCTCCCCCCACTGGCCTGTCTCACCCCACCGATCCCATTGTGCCCCCTCTATCAGTCTCCCCTTGCCATGTCTCACCCTCCAATCCATTGGTCTCCCCTTGCCTTGTCTCTCCACCACCCCTCATCTATCTGTTTCCCCCTGCCCTGTCATTCCCATTTCTCATCAATCAGTCTGACCCCTGCCCTATAATCCCCCTGCAACCCCCCAACCATTTCCCCCCTCTATGTATCAGTCTCCCTGCTGTGATGTCTCCCAACCCACCTCCATTGATCTCCCTCCTGCCCTGACTACACCCTGATCCATCAGTCTGCCTCCTGCCCTGTCGCCATCCTGCCTTGTCTCCCTCCATCAGTCAGTTTCCCCCTTGCCCTTTCTCCCCACCTTTACCTATCAGTCTCCCCCTTACCCTGTCTCGCCCCTCCTCTACCTAACTGTCTCCCCCTTACCCTGTCTCCCCTCTCCTCTACCATTCAGCATCCCCCCTACCCTGTCTCCCCATTCCTCTATCAATCAGTCTCCACCTTGCCCTGTCTTGACTCCCCCTGCCTATCAGTCTCCCCCTTGCCCTTTCTCGCCCCCACCTATCAGTCTCCCCTTGCCTTGTCTCCCCCACGTCCTCTCTCTCGCCCTTGCCCAGTCTTCCCACTCCTCCATCGGTCTCCCATTTTTCTCTCTCTCTAGCGTCTCTTATCTGCTCTATATCTAGCTATCTCCCTCCCTCTTGCCCTCTCTATCAGCCTCCCTCCCTCTGTCAGTCAGTCAGTCAGTCAGTCAGTCAGTCTCCTGCCCTCTCCGCCAGTGCCAGTGCCAGTGCCAGTGCCAGTCCCCCGCCCACGGGCAGGCAGCGCGTGGAACCCGACGCCCCTTTAAACCCGGCGGCTGTTGCCGCACATGCGCCGTTAGCAGACCTCACGAGGCGTCAAACCTCCCGCGCCCGCATTTTACGCTGATTAACGTTACCGAAACTTTAAAAGGCACAAGAACACATGTTACAGCAACACAGACCACATGAAAATGCATCTGCAAAATGGCAATATTTGAAACAACGTTACCTGGACCACCTGTGTTTGAAGCATTGCTCCTGTTTCCTAATGAACGCTGAATGTGAAATAACAGTTTGGATGCGATGCAGTCTGAAAGCTCAGTGCCAAATTCTTCATCAGAGTGTGGTTTTAACACCACAGCGTGTGACCGATTCTGGATTAACGTGGAACTTTATCAACCCACATGACTCCGTACTCAGCCACTTGGCCAGAAGTTGAAACTCAGGTCACCGAAGTGTTCGGGAGGGCTGAGAAGGCAAGAGAAGTTCAGCTTTCACAGCTGGAGGGCAATTTGTGACAGTGATTCTGTATTAGACCGGTTACCCACACCTTGTTGCCTGAAATAGTGTTTAGTTTAAAATTGCGCAACAGTTTTACATCGAAAATGATCATTCTAACTAGAGACATATTGAATGACAAGGAAATCAATGAAGTTTAGGAAATCGGCTGCAGATGATGTTTTAATCCCCACGTCATAAAATCCGTAAATTTAGATGTGGCAATGCTAATTTTGGAAAGTAGGACAATGTATTATTTTCACAGGCATGTTCGTTGTAACATTTAACCTATAAGTACAAACCAGGTGCAGTTCTTGGAAGCAATTTATTTCAAAATAGGACAATATCTTGAATTCTGCCTGATATTTAGTATACACTTGGATGATAAAGAGCCTTTCTTAAAAAAAAATCAATAGTACTTCTGGAATATTGAGTCGAAACATTTGATTTGTGCTATATTCATGTTCTGATGCACAGGTTGGTCCCAAGATCTTCACAGAGTGCATCTGGAGAGGATGTTTCCTTATTTTGGGAAATTGTAGAGCTTGGGGTTACTTGTTAAAAATCAGGGGTGGTGCATCTAACACTGACAAAGCTTTCGTTTCTCTATCTCAGAGGGTCATGATTCTTTGGAACTTTCTTCCTGAAAATACTATGAAAGCAGAGTCCTTGAATACTTTTAAGGCAGAGGTAGATAGATTCTTGTTGAACAAAATGTTAAAAAGTTATTAGGGCTAGGTGGGAAGATGGATTTGAGGTCACAATCAGATCCTCCGTGAACTCATTGAATGGTGGAGTAGGCTCAAGGGGCTGAAAAGCTGTCCCTACTTGAAATTTGCACGTTTATATGAATGGATGACTTGCAGTGGTAGTATTGCTGCCTCTGAGCTTGATGCTTCAGATAAAGTTCCTAGGTCAGTACTTGATTGCCATGGAAAGTGTGCTCGTAACCTGATCAAATAGATTGACTATAAGTTGTCAAATCCCTCCAACATGAGCTAATGATATGCAGTAAGACCAGGAAAGATTCCTGATCACCTGTGTGATCACTATTCATGAATCCAACTACATCAACTCAGAGAAGAGCTGGTGAATGAAGAGTAGGTGTTAAGTGAGTGAATAGAGGAAGAAGGGGTTTTGGAAGAGGAATTACTAATTGAGTGGGAGGAGTGTGGGAAAGCAATGCTGATGTGTATGAGGGTATTTGGGAAGAGGGACCTTTAAGTCTTTGTGGGAGTGAGGGGGATTAGGATAAGACATATTAGTTGTGGGGGGAGTGTAGTGAATACAGTTGTGCATGAAATTTTGAAGAGAGGGTCTTCACTGCGGTTTCTTTTACTAGGGAATTTGGAGAGTTTGGCTGAATCCTGCATGAATGGGCAAAATAATATGTTTACAAGTACTTTAATTTTTTTCATCTTTATTGAGATATTATTATATGTTGCTGCATAATACACAATTTACTGAATGTTACCATGCTACTGTTTTGTTTTAGTTGGCATCTGGGATCACATTAATTTTCAATATTTTTAATTCATTCATGGGATGTGGGCATCACCTGTGAAGCCAACATTTATTGCACACTGTTAATTGTTAGAGGGTGGTTAAGGGTAAAACAACATTGCTATTGGTCTGGAGTCACATGTAGACCAGACCAGACAAGGGAGGCAGATTACCTTTCCCAAAGGACATTGCTGAACCAGATGGGTTTTTATGACAATTGATAGTGGTTCTTGGTCACTGCTAGAGCAGAATCTGTATCCATTTTATTTGTGGTGTATTTAAATTTTGCCATATGCTAACATGGGATTTTACCTATGTTCCCAGACCATTACTCTAAGAATCTGGATTTCTAGTTTAGTGACATTATCATGATGGCTCCACCTCCCCCAAGTACTGAAATGAATTCCCTTAGTATTAGAAATGTATAGATCCCTGTTGAACATATTCAATGACTGATGTTTCAATGTCCCATGAGTTAGAGAATTCAAGTTCTTAACAATTTAAGTAAACATTCATTTCATTCCCTCTAATGCAAATATATCGTAACTTGGTTATGAAGATATGGTGTTACCAAAGTTCTATATGATTGCAGTGAAACTTCTTTCCTCTTATTTTCCAATCTCTGTTGTGTTACATATCTTTTGCATCACAAATTGGTGGCATACTTGCAGGTCAATCTTCTGTGATTCATGTACAATGACATCCAAATACCAAACGTTGACAGGCTCTCATCTTGGAAAAAACTGTACCATGAATGTCTTTTGTTACTGCCACTTCCAACAGTATCTTGAAAATCTGGTAAATTGCTATTTTACAATGTGTCTTCACTATGTTGCAACTCTGTGACTACTTACTACTCTGCTCAGCCTGCAAACCTGATCCTGACCTTCCGGTTACTTGCCATTTTAATTCTCTACCTCAGTGCTTAAGTGCATGCAGTATATAAAACAAGTTAAATAAACTTGTAGCGCAAGTTGGCAGGTATGATGCTGTGGGTATCATAGAGACGCGGCTGCAGGGTGATCAGGGCTGGGAACTAAATATCCAAGGATACACATCCCAGTGAAAGTACAAGCAGATGGGCAGAGGGGGTGGGGTTGCCTTGTTAGTAAGAAATGAAATTAAATTGATAGCAAGATTTTTATAGAGTTAGAAGGATGTAGAATCTGTGTGGGGAGAGTTGAAGAACTGCAGAGGTAAAAAGACCCTGTAATGAGTTGTGTACAGGCCTCTGAGCAGTAATCGGGATGTGGGATGAAAATAAATCAGGACATAAAAAATGCAGGTAAGAAAGGCATTATTACAATAAACATGGGGAGCTTCAATATACAGGTGAACTGGGAAAATCACGTTGATAGTGGATGTCATGAAAAGGAATTCATTGGAGCAGCTTGTGGTAGAGTCCACTAGGGAACAGGCAGTTCTGGATTTGATGATGTGTAATGAGGCAGACTTGTTTAGGGAACTTAGGGTTAAGGAACCCCTGGGGGAAGTGACCATAATATGATAGAATTCACCCTGAGTTTGAGAGGAAGCAGCTGGAATCAGATGTAATATTATTACAATTGAGGAAAGGTAACTAAAGACATGACGGAGTTGCTGGCTAGAGTTGATTGGAACGAGAGCCTAAGTAGGGAAGATGGTGGAGCAGCAATGACAGGAGTTTCTTGGGTAATTCAGGAGGAACAGCAGAAATTAATTGCATAGAAGAGAAAACATAACGGCAACCATGGCTGACAATGGAAGTCAGGGACAGCACAAAAGACAAAGCATACAATGTGGTGAAGATTAGTGGGAAGCCAGGGAATTGGGAAGCCTTTAAAAAAACAGTAGACGATAACTAAAATAGCACGAGTTGGAGGAAATGAAGTATGAGAGTAAACTAGCTAGTAACATAAAAAAGATTGCAAGAGTCTTTAGATATCTAAAGGATAAGCGAGAGGCAAGAGTAGACATTGGACCACTGGAAAATGAGGCTGGAGAAGTAGTAATGGGGAACAAACAAATGGCAGAGGAACTGAAGAGGTATTTTGCATTGGTTTTCATAGTGGAAGACACCAGCAGCATAGCAGAACTTCAAGAGAGTTAGGGGACAGGAGTGAGTATAGTGGCAATCACTAAGGAGAAGTTGCTGGGGAAGCTGAAAGTTCTGAAGGTGGATAAATCACCCAGACTGGATGGACTACAACCCAGAGTTCTGAAGGAGATAGCTGAGGAGATTATAGAGGCATCGGTGGTGATCTTTCAGGAATCACTGGACTTGGGGAGGGTCCCATTGGACCAGAACATGGCTAATGATTAAGGAGGGAAGGAGGCAGAAGACAGGAAATTATAGGCCACTTAGCCTGATCTCGTTGTTTGGTAAGATTTTAAAGTATCATAGAATCCCTACAGCGTAGAAGCAGGCCATTCGGCCCATCAGGCCCACACTGCCTCTCTGAAGAGCACCCCACCCAGACCTGCATTTCCCACCCTAGACACTATAGGCAATTTAACATTGCTAATCCACCTAACCTGCACATCTTTGGACTATGGGAGGAGACCGGAGCACCCAGAGGAAACCCACGCAGACATGGAGAAATGTGCAAACTGCACACAGCTGGTCACCGAAGGGTGGAATCGAACCTGAGTCCATGATGCTGTGAAGCAGCAGTGCTAACCACTGTGCCACCCTAAAGTCTATTATTAAGGATGAGATTGTAAAGTCCTTGGAAATATATGGTACATTAGGGCTGAGTCAGCATGGTTTTGACGTTGATAGTGGGGGATTCACTGATGGTAACACCATTGAATCGCCAAGGGGCGATGATTAGATTGTCTCTTATTGGTGATGGTCATAGCCTGGAATTTGTGTGGTGCGAATGTTACTTGCCACTTGTCAGCCCAAACCTGGATTTTATCGAGATCTTGTTGCATTTGAACATAGACTGCTTCAGTATCTGAGCAGTTACGAGTGGTGCTGAACATTGTGCAATCATCGCCGAACATCCCCACCTCTGACCTAATGATGTAGGGAAGGTCATTGATGAAGCAGCTGAGGATGGTTGGGACTCTGTCACTATCCTGAGGAATTCCTGCAGAGATGTCTTGGAGCTGAGATGACTGATCTCCAACAACTACGACCATCTTCCTATGTGTCAGGTATGACTCCAACCATCGGAGAGTTTGCCCCAGATTCCCATTGATTCCAGGTTTGCCAGGGCTCCTAGATCCCACACTCGATCGAATGCAGCTCTAATATCAAGGGTTGTCACTCTGACCTCACCTCTGGAATTCAGCTCTTTTGTCCATATTTGAACCAAGGCTGTAATGAGGTGAGCAGCTGAGTGGTCCTGGTGGAACCTGGGCATCACTGAACAGGTTATTGCTGAGTAGGTGCTGCTTGATCGCACTGTTGATGACATGTTCCATCACTTTACTGATGATTGAGAGTAG